AGGTAGATCATGTGGTAAATAATCCAAGAGGGATTCAGTAATGCATTTTGATGTACTAGCATGACCGAGTTGGATTTAACATACAGTGAAGTGGAAAACTGAGAGATTTTCATACAACTGGATATAACAATATTCTTCCCAGAGGCAATTGGGTCTGTTTATTGTCACTTGCTGTGCTTCCTTGCACTGAGGATGGCTTAGTATTTACATCTTACTTTGTGCCACCAAGACTCTTTAGCAGGTGGGGTGCTCAACCATTTGAGAACAAGTAAGCAGGACAAGGGACTTCAGCCTGTGCTCTGTCTAATGCTGTGAATCCCAAATACACTACTAGGTAAGGGTGACTTCTAATTCACTCATTAGCATTATTCGTTTAAGCAGCCATGATTGAAAAATATTGTGTGCATAACAGAAAACCAAATCACATAAAATTAATATTTTTTTATTGCTAAAATGAAAGAAACAAAGTATTTCAAGTATTTAGTTGCACTTTTAGCTTGGCCTGGGGAAAAGAAAAAGGGTGAATTATATGCATTACAGTTCATATTAGAGGAATTGGTTCTGAAGAATTTGCTTTCAAGTGCTTTTCTATTTCCAGGTAATCTAATTTTCTACTGCATTAGGAAACAGTTTTACGGTATCTTTATAGTAAACTTAGGACATTATGTTGTACTTGTGAAATGTTGCTTCATTTGTATTCCAATGTCATTAACATTATTATGTAGTTGTGGGCCTACATGAGGATAACAAAATGAGTGTATACATCTGAATTTGAGAAATGTAATTTCTTTTTAGACAATTTTATCTAAACAAAGTCAAATCTTCTAAAAGTAATTAATCACAGGGTTTATGTTCTTCCATACTTAACGGTAGTCATCAGTCTCAGGTGAAAGTGTTTTGTGTCAAATCTGAAAAATTACAGATCTCTAAGCATTCCAGTATATCAGTATTAATGTAAGTAGTAAAACTGAATAAATAGATGTAGTCCTTAGAACAGAAATGAGACAAATTTTCAATACTGTTTTAGTTTGTTGCTGCTTGAATTGTAGCTGCTTTTGCTTCTTTTCTTCTTTAGGGCTAAACCATAGAAATGTGCAAGAACTACTTTCTACCCCAAACCCAGAAAAATACAATTTTGTAAGATTTTTAGAAAGACAATTAAGGTAAATATGCTTAATAATTGATTTAGTCTTAAGTGCAACCCCCCTCCTCCATTTGTTAATAGTTCTAGTTTCTCTGATCTTTAAGTTCTTAAAAATATAGATTGTCTACAAAAAGATTGGAAAATTGTAAATCTGCCTTTTTTCATTATTATTATTTTCCTCTTTTTTCTTTTTTAAGAGGATTTTTTCAGCACTCAAGTTTGTAGTTTTTTTTCTTGAATGATTTCATAAATAATTTTATAGTGGTCTAAAATTTTTTAAAAAGTATTTTAAAAATACATTTTCTCTAATAATAATGTGACTTTGAGCAACCTAATTTGGAACTAGATGATCTTTAAAATTCCCTTCCAGTCCAAACCATTCTATGATTGTATGATTCTAGAAAAGAAAGTATTTAGCATCTGTGAGCTGTATCCAGGTTGCAGGCAAGGCTCCTAAGGTGCTCCACCTACTGTGACATTTGCCATCATTGCTGAGCAATTGTCACTCTTGACAGGGTGGGGAAAGAGACTGAGGGTCCTCTTGAATCATGTTGATGAAATGAGGAGTGACTGTTTTTGGACATGTTGGATACAGAAGCACTAAACAGGTCCTGTTTCACCAACTTGTCTTGTGGCTCTGTGGGACTTAGGTGCCCTGCTGGTACCCTCTGCTGAGGGTAACTCTGCCCTGACTGCACAGGGTCACTCTGGACAGGAGATGTAGGTACACTCCTGGTGAAGTACAGTTTCCAAGTAGTTCTGAATCATACACTATTTTGTTGTGATGACAGTAACATCCCACACAGTTCCACTCCAGAACATGCCTGACATGACACGAAGCTGTTAAGTTATAAACAGCTGTCCTGTGGTTGATGTGAGTGGCCCTAAAGCAAGTTATCTCTTGCTTGGTTCAGGCAGTTAAAAGAATAGCCATGGGACTGTGCTGGTCATGGCCTTTCATTTCAAGACAGCTGTTGTGGTATGGTATGTGTGCCTGTGTTGGGGAGGCTTGAAAGTGTGTACTGATGTACCACAGGATCCTCTTGCAAATTGTAGTGTGAATGTGGCTATTGTGCTCCAAAGAAGGCTGGGACTTCTTTGATAAGGCTATGACAGGGACATGCCCTCCAGCCTAGACATTGACACATTAATGCAACAAAGTCAGTAAATAATTTAGCCAAAGTAGTAATATCTGTGGAGTTCTGTGCCTAAACTCCTACACATCAGGTCACAAAATCCATGTCTGGCTGCTTAGGTGTGTCTGGTGATACATCTGTCCTAACTTTCATTTCCATGTAATCGTTCTTGTACGCACTTGAGAAGTGGTGGATTGTATTAGTAGTCTCTTTTGAAGTGGGCCAAGTGTATAGCCAAGCATGCAAATTTTGTTTAGCCAGAGAGTAATTAAGAAAGAAGAGACCTGGGCTGATGGTCCAGAGGTCAAGCTTGACCCAAGGGAAAATGGAGAATGCAAAATACCTCACTTCTGCACTTTTGCTGTCCTTTGTTTTGGAGTCACCATGGACTGGAACAGGGAAGTGGTCCCAGATAGGTGCTGCCCTCCCTCCCCCCTTTTCCAGCCACATCCTGTTCTAACCTGCCTGCTTGAGTGGCCGTGAGTGGCTCTATTTGAGGCATAGCAGTTCATTAACTCCTTACTGTCCAGGCTTCTAAAGATGACAAAATTTAATTGTTATTTTTTAACCAAAATAATAATAAACCTCCCTGCCAGGGGAGGTTTAGGTTGGACATTAGGAAGAGCTTTTTTTACAGAGAGAGTAGTCAGGCATTGGAATGGGGTACCTGGGGAGGTGGTGGATTCACCATCCCAGGAGGTTTTCAAGATAAGACTGGATGTGGCACTTAGTGCCATGGTCTAGTAACCACAGTAGGGTTGGACTTGATGATCTTTGAGGTCTCTTCCAACCAGGATGATTCTATGATATTCTATGATAATGAAATTACATTTAGTTCAGTACTGTGATTGAAACTGCTTATCTTCAAAAAATAAAGTCGTCTTGGAAAATTGACAAACTGGACTCACATGTAAGTATCTCAAATGCAAGTATTGTAGAGACATTGTCAGAATAGACATTGTATTTTATGTGTTTGTTAAAGCAAGTCTTGGTAAAGCCAGATCCTAGCAGATGGTGTTGATTGTATATTCCCTGATTTAACTGCTGTAAAAGCTTTTGCAAGAGCACTGAGTACTTGGATTCTGGCACAGTCCTACTAAAGGATATCTCAGTTGTGAGCAAGCCCTCTCTAATAACTCCCTATTCTCCTTGGGCATAACACATGACATAGAGTCTCCATAGGAACCAGACTGTGTTTTTGGAATACCTGCTCCTTGTCATGGGTAGTGGGACTATGAAGGGCAGCACCCAGAGGGGCATTAAGGGCATTTTGCTAAGAGATATTGAGGTGTTGTGACTCACTCCTACCCTGCTTTCAGAGCTGTGCTGTTGAGCTTCTTTGGGAAAACATGCATACTTCTGAGAGCCTTGAAAATCCAAAAGCTGGAGATAAACTGTAGAACAAGATGCTTCTATCGATACAATTACATAATAAGTGAAATACGTTCAAGGCACAGGTTTCTAGGGTAAAAGAATCTGTATATTGAGGTGTTGTGACTCACTCCTACCCTGCTTTCAGAGCTGTGCTGTTGAGCTTCTTTGGGAAAACATGCATACTTCTGAGAGCCTTGAAAATCCAAAAGCTGGAGATAAACTGTAGAACAAGATGCTTCTATCGATACAATTACATAATAAGTGAAATACGTTCAAGGCACAGGTTTCTAGGGTAAAAGAATCTGTTTTTTCTGCTGATGAAAAAGAAGAAACAAGTCTTCCAAGACCACCCACCTAGGCAAAGCTGTTTTTCATTTGATTCAATGCACAAGAAAACCAGGAAAATAAGTAGACATAAGAATGCATTTGAATTCCAGTGAACCTGCCTGGTACATCACTCTAGAAACAAAATTCCCATTTATATATATTTAGAATTTGCAGAAAAAAAAAATCTGCTAAAACTGATGTAATGCTGATGTGAAGAAATGCAGAGGGAAGAGAATTTTAGTGGGATTATCGGTTATTTATGTTTCCCATTTTTCACTATGGAGCATAAGAAATGAATTGAACATGCTTTATATTTCCCACAACTAGCAATTTTCTGTCTTTGGAAAGTTTCAGAGGGAGGAGCTCAGAGGTGCTGTGGGAGGGACTAAAATTCATATTAAAGTTTTGGCACAAGAGGGAGAATTGTCAGAGTAGAAGGTTTCTTCTGAGGTTTTGCTTTCTCCCCCCCCCCCCCCCCCCAATTTAAGATGATAAGTATTTATGTTCGATTTCTTCTGATAATTCTATTTTGGAGTGCTGATTGCCAGATTATTCCTAGGATTGAAGAATGTGGACTTTCATGTTCTCAGGTAAGCTCTTACTTTTTCCTATTTGTTGTCTATTGATACAGTAGTTGTATGTTGCTAAAATATTTGTAGGAAAGGCAAGGAAGCAAAAATGGAAAGCTATTTCAGCTGTTCTGAACTTGCGCTTTATATTCCTGTCATTCTGAATCCATCCAAAGTGGCAAAGATGACTATGGAGGGTGTAAGAAAAGAAAATGCATCTTACACTATTTCCAACTGCTGTTGTTAGTAGCTTTTAACATCTGTCTTTTATATTTGAAAAAAATTATTTTTTTCATATTCATTACTTTGCAGAGTCAATTTTTACAACAGAAGTGGTGCCAAAGAGATGTGGGAGGGAGGAATGGGAGGTTTCAGCAGTTGCTAATTATGTTAGGAATATATGAAACACTGGCTTTCCTGTGAATAAATTAATTTAGCATGAGAAAGAGTAAAACCTGTTTTTCATTTTGTGGGATGAATGTAACTTCAGTATTAAATTTAATGAATTGTGTATGTGCATGGAAGTGGAGTGTGAACCATCCCATCCCTTTAACAGCTTTGGGTTTTGTGTGATTCCAAATATCCCCGCAAAGGGGCAGTGTGGAGATACGCTGCTCCGCTTGGTATTCTGAAACTGTAAGCATAAACTGAAAGATAAATTAAAAAAAGGATTAAATAATAGGGAATCTGACCTTCAGTCTGACTGGAGGAGGAGAACTGTGTACTTGCTACAGAGAAGTGGAATTGGAATTGATGGCATGAAAGAATTTGGCTGTCTGTACAAACTTCTGCTTGAAGATGTCAGTGTTTGGGACAGGCAGTGAGACACTAAAGATTGTCTAAATGTGGTGATACTACCCAGATACTAAGTTAGCTCATGTTACAGCAACTTATTCTATCTTTATACGTGTATCCTAGAAAAAAAACAGGAATAAAGATGCTTATAAAATACTAGATTGAGCAAAAAAACCCAAACCAACTCTTTCCATATTTAAAGTTGTTTAATATTCCTGTATTCAAATTCTGTAATCTCTATCCACTTGGATAATGTTTTTAGAATAACAAAATATAGTTATAAGAAATTAGTCTCTAGATATTTCCAAACACTTTTAAAGAAATTTTATGTACTTATGTTTATGAATGCAAATACATATGTATTTTAAATAATTTATGCTCCTTGTCCTGCTGCAATGGGAGTTTAAAATAGAAATTATTTGCTAATCTAATTTATCCCTCCAAAGAATGTAGGACTATAAGACTCAGCTTGTAAAAATCGATAGCTGCCTTTTTTGGAGGGTTTCAGTCTGGGGGATAGGATTTACCTCTAGGGACCTTAAAGGGCATTTGCTCTGTCATATCTTCAGTACATATGTCAAGCAGACTGATTCACTAGGTGCCTAAGATAGAGGCATAACTCAAGGTTTACCAGGCTGGATCCCTTTCTTTGCCTCCTTAGGACTCTTCCAACACTAAAGGTTGGATACTGAGAAAAGTGTATTTTATTTCATTTTTTTAATTTGCAAGGGAAATACACCTTGTTTCCAGTATAATGGAATCAGTCATTTGTGATATTAGAGACAGGATTCTGTTCATGTTGTCTATGTGATGTTTCTCCTAGTTGTTGTATTCAATAGAATCTTGAATGCATTAATGACTTTTTAAGACAAAAATGTTTTCTCAGTGGAAACAATAATGATCTCAACAGAATAAATTACTACCAGCATAGCATTTTCAATCTAGTGCAAAGCATTTTAGCTACATGAACTTGAGTCTCATGACTAGCTTGTTAGAAAAAAAAATTATTCTCCCTTTCTCTTTGCAAGTATCTTCAATTTCCCTGCGTAACTGATCATGATTCGTGGGCTCAATCTCATTCCTACATGAGTTATTTTAAAAGGGAACAGTCAATCTTCTCTGTAACCTTTAACTCAATGGTCTTTATAAGGGCACTAACCGAGGGTTCCAGTTTGTCTTTGTGTGCTGCCTTCTGCCTTACAAAGTAGAGAATCAGTGACTTTTTTTCTAGCAATTTGCTTAATGTGGTGATGAGATATTGTAAATTTGAAACTATCAGAGATTCTCTGTAGCTGTTGTTGTTACGAGTGAGTATTATAGATTTATTTTTTTCTGTATGAAGTTTTCCCAGAGGTTTGTATAGTGAATTTCTCTTCTGCAGGCAACCCTGAGGATGTGTGGTTCTTCATAAAGTGATAGGAGATGAAAAGCAATTAATTTGCATTTTTCTGCATTTTTCAAACTTAGGTATTGTCAGAAGGTTTTAGGCAGGTTTAATAACTGAAACTGTTGAGTTTTACCAGCAGACTGGATTTTGAGGTGGCTCTGTCCATTGGATGTTTGTGAGCAGTTTTGACCTCCTTGGGCACTCCTTATCAGTGTAAACACTGGTTGTATTTAAGAGGGAAATGGTGACATAACTATTTTGTGGTATATGAGTTGAAAAACCTTTGCATTGGACAGTTCAGATTTTGGATCTTATTACAACTTCATGAATCATTCTTAGTTTACCATGAGTATTCAGCAAGGCATCCTTGCATTGCCCTGTATAAGGCACTATCCAGGTTTCATTGCTGTACCACAAACTGTACATCTGTTCAGTACAGGAAAAGGAAAACCAAAAGAACATTGGATGTTTATGCCTATATTACATGAAAATTTAAACAGCATGAAGATATACAATTCTGGGTTGAGTAATGACAAAGGAACAACTAAGCTTTTATTACATATTATGATTCATTTCTCCTTCCTTATTTTAATGGCTTGGCTTTAGAGCTCATGTGATATTCTAGTATTCAAAGCTTAAATACTGCGGGCATGGTCTCTATGCCCCACCCAATAGCAAACACAGTTATCAACCAAGTTTCTCTGCAAATGCATAGGGAAATCCCAGCTTGCAATTTCTATTGGGTTTGTGCCCTACTCATTTTACAGTCCACATTGTTTGCAGGCTGTACACAAAGAGACAGGCTTATGCCAAATTTGACTCAACAGCTGGTAAATATCAAGAGCACTACATTTAAAAAACACTCCCTAAAACACTATGAAATAGTGTTTGTATTGTTTGCTATTGAATGTAGTAATGTTTCCAAAGACTATGGATAAAGGAGGAAACCCTAAGCTGAATCTGGGATTTCCCTGTAACAATAAAGGTTATTGGCAACAAATTCTTGATATAGCTGCTGCTTGATCATGCTGTTCACAATCAAAATATGTGGTGTTTCTTTACTGGGTATTTATGGCATGGATCAGTTCATTCTTGCTGAACACTACACACTGCAAAACTAGTGATACAATATAGCTCTTAGGCCACTAACTCAGCTGACATAAATTGGTATTCTTTGCACATTATTAAGCAATTAATATTTTAAAAATGATCTCAAGCCTCTAAAAATGGACATGATAATCTAGGTGACATAATTCTGTTGTTCTCTAAAATCTGTTTGAAAACCTAATTTTAGACAGAGAAAATGTCTAAAGAGGCTGGTGAGGGACCTGCCTTCCTCAGAGTGACTGACAGAGATGCAGCATGAAGTCCCAGCATGGAAAGATGATTTCACACAGACATTCTGTGTATGCATCAATATACCTGATGACTGAAGGAGATGCATAAAAATATAAAACATATCCTCTGCCAATATTTGCTGAGATGCAGTGCAATCCACCAGAGCATGCCCTTGATAGGCAGCCTGGGATTTGCGTCCTTGCCTGTCATCGACTCGTTTAAGTAATTTCCTTTCTCCAGTTTTCACAAGTGTGCTGACCTTCCTGTGTGTTGTGTTTTAATTATGTGTTTAAATTAACTGCTTTGAATACTATAATTATGAGTTAAGTACTCATTAATCAAAATAGTCATACTTAAGGGGCTCAACCATGCTGAGTCACTGTATTGGAGTGATATTAACCCGTTTGGTTAGATAACCCCAGTTGCTTTCTATGCTGATAGTCAGGAGAGCTGCAGTTTAGCAAATTTAGGTGGCTTATCTCTTGGACTGTGTTTCACGTTTGTTCTTAGGGTCAAAAATAGCTTGGCAATGACATGAGACATCTTCCTGATGTGTCCTATGCCACCAGTTGGGTGCTGTCCTCTTTCCTCACCCCCTGAAAAGGAAACAGCCAGTGACAGGTACAAACAGGGACTTAAAAAACCTCTCCAGTGTTTCTCATTATTACAGCATCTACCACCAGTTCTTATAAAAGAGGTGGAGATGGAAAAAGTTCTGTAATTCAGAACTTGCAAGCAGTAGAATCTTGAGTTTTTTATTTGTCATTTCTCTGTTCCTCAAGAACTCAGGAAGAAGGTTGCAAGGTCTGGAAAGAGACTAGCCACCAGAATAGCAAGAGCTGAAGGACTACAAGCAGTCATGAAAGTTGGGGCACAAAATTAACAGGTGTCAAAACTGGACCTGACAAGGTGTCCTGAAACCAAAACATAAGGCAATACTAGAGGCTTCACCACAGGACATCAGCATAACTTGTGTGCAATCAGTACCCACAGCAGGAGGCGCATACTCAAAAAAACCAAGAAGGGCTATATAAGCAAGATCAGCAGGAGATGGGAGCAGCTGACCTTTTTTATTGGCAGTGAATTTTAGTTCACAAATCTCTCTCAGCTCTGATCTTTGGGACTGATCTATGACACAAAGCTAGGTGGTGAATACTGAGATTTGGGAGTAGGTGCTTTCCATAGCCATCTGACTGACTGCTTTGCAGTTGGAAAGCAACTCATAATTTCATCAACTCTAGGCAGGACAGACTGTTTAGGAGTGGCAATAGCTTTAATGAGGCCATGTGGCATGACCTAGCTGGAATTTTTGCAGTAAGGTCTAGGAATAACTTAACTTGTAAATTTGTTGGAACTGGCAATGCTGTGTACCTGTTTATATTGTTCCATTCTTCCTCTCCTGTCAGAATGCCTGTGCATGGGAGAGGACCAGAGATGAGCAAAAGTGAAAAGGACCAAGATGAGGTTTAAAAGACTTCTGTTTTTTGAAAACCAGGAAATT